CGCGTACGGCACCTAATCGCCTAGCTTCACGCCACTACACGTCTTCCCCTCGGCCACCCCCAAAAAAGGATGCTTAATAACCGAGCTTATTACGTGCAGAGAACATGAAACCCGTCCACGCGATCCGCGCCACACAGCGTGGCCAGAATGCGACAAAGGCCTTCAGATCTGGCTGTAGTAGGATGGTGAAAGTAATGGTACAGCATTGTTTACTATAATTAGACATAGTCTTTACCTTGCCGTTTATTTGGTGTTATTTGCTTACTAAAACTATTCTGAGTGTTCATTTAAAAACATGACAACATCCATTCAATGCTTACACAAACTGCACTATGGTTTGAATATTCACCTGTCTCTTGTAGCCTTTGCTAGTTTATCTTCAGATTTTTTATCATGATGATCCATCAGCATGAATCCTCCTCTTCCAAGCTGGGCTTCAGACTGTTCTAATTTCTCAGATAAATCTGATATCTGACCTGTTGTATAGTCAGCATTCTGTAACAAACAAACGCATGTTAGTTTTGATAGCTGCACTAAATGAACCACTGACAGGACAATGCAAATAACATACTTGAAAACACTCCACTTCAGAAACAAAATAGACTAGGTCTGTGTAGTTTGTTAACCCATGGGTACCTACACTAGGTGTGTGTAGTTTATTAACCCATGGATACTTACACTAGGTCTGTTTGGTTTGTTAACCCATGTGTACCAAAACCAGGTCTGTGTAGTTTGTTAACCCATGTGAACCTATACTAGGTCTGTGTAGTTTGTTAACCCATTTGCACCTATACCAGGTCTGTGCAGTTTAACCCATGTTTTTTTACTGTAAAATGATTAATTTCACTGGGTTTAAATTTCGCAGATTTAGCATTTCATGCATATTCAGTGGGTTTTAAATTCACAGTTTCATCATTTAGATAATGTGTTCTATACAAAATTTTACATATTCACTGGGTTTTAATTTAGCGCATTTTCCAGTCAGCGAAAATAAGCAAAATTAAAACCCAATGAGTAATTAATCCTTTTACAGTATACCAGGTTTGTGCATTTTAACCCATGTGTACCTATACTAGGCCTGTGCAGCTTGCAAAGGTGTATTTTGTGTTCTGCACAATTGGAGTTAAAAAGATTGCTGACTTACCATTAATAGACTAGATGAACTAAGTGTATTGACCCAGTATTTATTCCATAAGGATTCCAATAGTCTTCTATCGAGTCCTGATTTGAAATAAGACACTTCTAGAGCATAATACTGTTTACAGTGAACACCAAAGTCTTCTATTTTGTTCAAT